TCAAAATATGTCATAATTCGAAAATAAGTAATTATTTTTTTACATAGAGAAAGTTAGCAATATGTGCCGGGTTATCTGCAATATGTATCTTGTGACTAAAAAATACAGTATGGTTTTATTTAGGGAATTAATAAAGCCTATTTAAATGTTTCCTTAAATATATGGTGAAATTTTTGCTCCACTGAGATGAGGAAAGAAGATAAAAAATGTTCTAGACTGACTTGAAATTTCTTTTTCCAGCGTTTTCCTTATTTTGAGAACATGCTAGATTTCTATTTGAAGTCAAACTGGGACCTTCTCTGCTGTCTGTGTGTTTGTAATGCTTCACTTATAAGGAGGTTGGGTTCAATTTTACAAAAATACTCTCACCTTTTCACACCAAAAAAGGCATAATATTAAAAGCCAAAACCAATTAAAAAAAGATCCCACAAACTATCCTAAGTAATTCTGCTGGTTTGCCTTTTGGGTTTTTTTTCTGTGCCCTCACAATTTTTTAACGCTGGTTGTAACAAAAAAAACCTTCATGAACCATTTTAATTCCCAACCCTTTGTTGTACCACAACAGGATTAGTTCAGTTAATTCTGGGGCCACTTGTTCATACCAGAAAATGAAAATCACTATCCTTGTACCTTCAGTTAAGGGAAACAGTTTTCCTATCTTTGTCTAATTGAACAGAAAAGCTGTTGGCTTCACTTATTGAAATAATGTGTCTTGAGATCATAAGAAAATTCAGACAGGAATGGACATCAGGCAGTTTCTAGTTCAAGCTCCTGCTCCAAGCAGGCTCAGCTGTGAGACCAGGCTTGGGTGCTCAGGGCTTTGTCCAGCTGGGTCTTGAACACTTCAGAGAACAGAGCCAGCACAGGGTCTCTAAGCAGCCCAATGCAGCACCTGCTTGTCCTCAGAGTGAAAATGCTCCTCCTTCTATCCATTCTAAACCTCTTGTTTCAACTCATGGTCATTAAGCTGAGTTCCTGCCTCTTCAACTCAATTTGCCAGCACATTTTCACTGGCAGCAGTTTGGAGCCAAATTTTGAAATTTTTCAAATTTTCTCGAAAAGTTCTCTTCGGTGTGGTATAGTATAGTAATGTCAGATTCCTATGAAGGACCACAGCAAGCCAGACAAAACCTGGATGACTTTCCTCAATCTCATTAGTTCTCTGCATGATTCTCACATCAGTGAGGCTGTTTGCAGGAAATCCAATAAAGGCACTCTTACATATCATGGAGTTCAGTTTCAGATTAACACACCCAGCATCTGTTGTCTACATGCAAGAAAGATATTTAAGTTTGCTGTTACTTAGATAGCTAAGGCCCAGTTCTGTTGGCCTCAGAAATACCTTGGAACATTCCTTCCTGGCTCCAGCAAGCCCCTTAGGAGGCTGCAGGTCTCCTACAGTTCCCGTGGCATATTTATCTATTCCACAGAGATGTCTCAAGTACACCGTCACATTTTGAATGATCCTAGAGGCATACAAAGGTGCCAGTGATTTGAACCTGTAGGAGATGGATATTTGAATCATTCTTTTGGCCTGACTACCATGGAAACATGTAGTACATTGATTATATAAGAATCTAGACACCTAGCAAGTATTTAGACACTAACATACATTTACACTAAAGTGTCCTCATTACAAACTAAAACCCAGCCACAGCCCAAGATCATGAGAGATGACAACAGACAATTACAGCTCATTAAATGAAATGTCAGTGCTCTGTGGTATGGGTGAGAACCATGAAATGGTATCACCGTATATTGGGAAGCAGCTTCTTCACATTTTGTCTCAGGCTTTCAATCATATACACGTTAATGATTGAAGTTCCACATGAGAGACTAACCATATTTTTCTACTCCTTCCTTATTCCTGACCACTTCATCTAGGAAATTAACAAGCAACAACAAACGAAGGCCAAACATGGTCTGTGAGGTAGAAGAGATGAGAGGTAGAAGTCAAATCCTACATAATCTCTAATGCCTTCTTTCTGTGAATATAACAATGCTATATTGCTCAGTAAAATGTCAAAAATAACATACAGAGCTACCATATACCTTTCGAGAAACAGAAGATAAACTGAGTTCTCAAATATTCAGGGTTTCCATACTTCATGGAAAACTAAAAAGGCCTTCTAGAGTTCTTTCTCTTGAGAGTAGCAGAGATTTTCATCTGTTGTATCTTTGAAACACAGTGGCAGCCCTTGAATAAAAAAGCTCCAGCTAAATTCAATAACTTTTATTAATGCCCCTCTTATTTTTCCATTAAAATTTCCATGTGGATTGAAATAGTACACTAATAATACTGAAATCTACCCTGCAGATGTGGAAGAAATATGAAGAAGAAATGAAAGTTCTAAGATTTTAAGTAAATATGATAATGTTGTCAAAAGCAAAAAATATAAAAATATTCCTGAGACACAGGCTGTTCTTTCTGCTTTTCTGGTTTTTTTTTCTTTTTGTTTTTGGTTTTTTTTTTTTTTTTTTTTTAATTTTCAACATTTTCTTATTGTTGAGTTTATTTTCTGGGGTTTTTTTGGTTTCCTTTTTTTTTTTTTGTTTTTTTGTTTTTTTGGAGGTGGGGTTTCTAGCTTTTGATTTGTACTTCTCCTAATGTTTTTCTCAACTTAGTCTGTTTTTCTCAGCAGGATAATCTTTATATCCCAGACAGATGCCTAATTCTGCCCTGCACAACCTTATGGCTTCTTTTCAGATCAAATGATGCAAAACACAAACACTCCAACTACACAGAGGTGGAAGCAGAGGTTGAAGGATTGCTTTGATACTACTATAGGTACAACACTGTGGAAGTATTCACATGATGCTTTGATCAAATTCCTTTAAAATAATGTTCATGAATTATTCAACTGATTAAAAGTTCAACAATTCATTTGAACAATATTGCAAAATGGTTTGAAAAAACTGCTTTATGAGAGAATCCAAACTACCTCTGGCTACAAGTCTTCTGAAGCCATCTGAATGAATTCCTAGATTATCCTAGATATTGCTCTGCAAAAAAATTTGTTGTGTTCATTTGTTCTATATCTAGGTCAATACAATTAATGAAAGGTAATGCTCCATTGTCTTTCTGATAATTGTGGGGTCTTACAACCTACAAGCTAGCTATTGCTGGAGAAGAATCCCATCATCTTCCTACGAAAAACACACATTTTCCTAAAGTAAATTTTTACCTAAAGCATAAATTAATAATAATTGCATAGTGAGCACCATGAACAATACTGTGGGATCCCTTTATAAGGGAAGGTTTAATTTCATAAATGAATAAAGCCATCTTTTCTTTTTGATATTTTGCAAAACACTTGTTTATGGCAAACTGTCACTTGTATTCAGATTTAGAATGTAGAAACTACTGTGATGGTTCCTTGGAAATGCTTAAAATAGATAAGATGGATTGACTGATTGCATATTCCTTTGAATTATTGTGAAAGTACCAGATCTATCTAAATCATGCCATGAAAAAAGTGGAGTTAGAAGTTATGTAACTTCAAGTTGCTATAAATTGCTTCTTGTTGAAAGCTATATAAAACATTTTCAAATCTGTCATGTTCCACCTCTTCTGCTTAAAAAAATAAATCCAAGTGAAAATGTCCAAGAAAAGTATGAATCAGGCTTATGTTGTTAAGTTGGAGCAAAAGCTTGACACCATCAAGACTGGATACTCTTTAGCAATTAAATCAAGAATCTGGTCCATTTTATGTCCAGAATGTATTTTTTACAGTAAGAAACCACATTTTGTCAGTTAGCTAAACCAGTGTAGCTAAAAAAGCAACAAAACCAGATGAGACCTAATTCTCTTCTCACAAACACACCATTGCCATTTTTCACTTAATCCAAGTTTGATTCTTGAATACAGATTTTATCTACCTTCTTTTGCTGCTGACATTCCCACGTGCCCTCAGAACAAGTTATCTGACAAAGCAGCCAGGAAAATGCATTTTCTACTTCTCCTCCCACAGCAGCATGCAAGATGACTGTGCAGCAACAGCAGCCCAGAGAACACGCTCTACAAGGTCTGATCTGACCTCCAGACTTTGCCAGAAAGAAGTCTCACATCATGGACCAGTCTGACCTCCCACAAAGCAGGAGGAATGCAGTACAAAGAGAGCATGGAGGAGCCAGAAACTGCTTTATTTGTAGCACTGAAGAGAAGAAATGAGCACAGCAGACAGCAGAAGATAATACAGAGCTTCAAGCTGTGGGGCAGCACCCAGATGCTACTTTTGCTAGTCCTGAGAGTAACCACCATAGGCAGTAGGAACTGCAAAACCCTTGACAGTGAGATGAATGTCAAGCCCTTCTTTTCTATCCTAAAATATGTAACGAATTTGAGAAAGTAACTGCTTTTCCCTCACTTGGCTTATATATATATATATATATATATATATATATATATACACACACACACACACACATGAGTTTTTTACTGGCAGTGAAACTTGAAATCTTTTCAGAGTTTCACTGGGACCAGAGAGTGAAACTTCTTCAAGTGAGGCTTGGAAAGAGGGCATCCAGAAAAGGCACTCTTCATTTTCAGGGTAGGATACCCCTCTGCAAATAAAAACTTCCTTACTAGCAGTTCTGCCTTCCCCAATTAAACAGAAAGGCTGGTAAAACAAAATAACAAGGGGTCATGGCAGAATTAGAGTTGATATGTTGAAAGTGTGTATCACTCAGCGCTGAGTACCACTCCATGATTATCCCCTATTTTGTGCTCTGAAAAACAACAGCCTCCTACAGCAACAAACACAATTGTAAGACAGATACCATTTATCCCAGAAAACCTATCTGCTACTTAAAAAAATACTAGAAAGGAAAAACAACCCCTTGTGGTGAAATTAGCTGAAATTAGCTCTGATGATGATCCGTTCTTTAAATTGGGAAAGAAAAAAGGATGTTTTTGTTCAGCATGATTTATTTTTAGACTGGCAAAGACACAATGGTAAACAGAACTGGAGCTCTGTGGGCACCTTCTGAGGTTAAATTACCTTTCATGCCATTTGCACAGAAGACTGTTCTCAAGCAGCTTGAGCAGATGGTCGGGACACCATTGTCCGTTTACTTGTATCCACAAAGATAAGCGATTGCTCTCTGAAATCCTGAACAATATGGCCCTTGTGATGCTTTAGGCTGCCAAGGAGAAAAAACACAAACAAACAAACATAAATATAAATTTAGCTGAGGAGAACAAAAGAGTTTTGATTGATGAAATTTCATTTTGAACAACAAGTACATATAGAATAATATAATTTTTTAGATAAGAAAAGATATTTAAAATCATCAGGTTCAAATGTTAGCCTAACAATGTTGAGTCCACCACCAATCCATGTCCCCAGGTGTCACATGTCTATGAAATACCTCCAGGGATGGTTACTCCACAGCTTCCCTGGATAGGTTGTTGCAGTATTTGACAATCCTTTCCATCAAGATACTTTTCCCTAAAGCCAATCTAAGCCTTCCTTTCCACTACTTGAGGCCATTTCCTCTGATCCCATTGCTTGTTGCACGGGAGAAGAGACTGACCCCCACCTTTCCACAACCTCTCGTCAGGTACTCATAGAGACAGAGGGTCCTCTCTGAGCTGCCCTTTCCACAGACTAAACACTCCCAGATCCCTCAGCTGCCTCTCACAGGAACTGTGCTCCAGATCCTTCACCAGCTCTGTTGCCCTTCTCTGGACACACTCCAGCCCCTCAATGTCTTTCTTGCAGTGAGGGGCCCGAAACTGAACACAGCACTCAAGGTGCAGCCTCACCAGTGCTGAGTGCAGAGGCACAGTCACTGCTCTGGTCCTGCTGGCCACACTATTGCTGATGCCATTAGCCTTCTTGGCCACCTGGGCTCACACTGGCTCATGTTTGGCTGCTGTCATCCAACACTCCAAGGTCCTTTTCCACTGGGCAGCTTTCCAGCCACTTTTTCCAAGGCTGTAGCACTGCATGGGGTTGTTGTGACCCAAGTGCAGGACCCGGCACTTGGCCTTGTTGAGCCTCATACTATTGGCCTTAGCCCAAAATATCAGTAATCTAGGGCAGTTTCACTAAATGAACACAATTTGCTCCTGAATACTTAGCAAGGCAGGAGATGCAGGTAAAAACAAATCATACACAGTAACTCTGACTGAAATAAGAATCTACCATATCTGCACAACTGCTTCTACTGCATATAACATTTTCTGAAGCACACTGCCAAGTTACAACTCTCCTTCTGCCTACTGTGGCAGTGAGGTAACTAGAGATATCCAGAGTCATGCCAGAGCAGACAACTACCTGGGAACAGTGATCCACCCAAGTATTGGTTGAAAAGGTAATTTCACTTGTTTTAAGAGCTTCTCAAACGTTGAGAGAAGCCCTGGTTAAACATACCCAATGTGAGCATTTTGCCAACAAGCAATTTGCTAAAAAAGCACTTTTATTATTAGACTAATTTACCACTAAGAGAGATGCGTTTAAAGGATGTACAACTACAAAGAATGTTTCTAACATCTTACAAACAGTCTTTAGGATTTAGGAGTGAAGCAAGCAGATACTAGTCTTTGGACTTGCAACTAATAATTGCATAACCTGTCAATCTTAAAAGCTCCCAAAAGGAAAGGAAAAGCAATGTTGATGAATATGGAAAGAATCACATGGAATCAGTGAAGGGCCCTAGACATGGCCTTCAATACACACAGCAAAATAAGACAGAATTGGGTTTAGAAAATAACAGTGAAATTTGATAACTATGAATCATCAGCCACTCAAAATTCTGAAGACAGCAGGTATTGCAAAGCATTTAATTAACTAAAGTTTAATATAAAGATGTATAGTTGTTTCTGAAACAACTGCTTATTTAAATAATGACACAACAAATAAAATTCATATCCTCTATCTACTACCACACACTCCACAGCAAAAGTGGATATACTTATTTCTCCCTTTCTCATTTCAGTCATCAAATGACCTGTTTCAATCTCTTTTTGCTGTGATGCTGGCATATTCAGCATGCCTTACAATAAATGCACCATTTAGAGATTTTAGGTTCTTGTCAGATTTTTAGGAATTGTTAACACTTATTGGAGTAAGGAAAAAAAGGAAAAGACAGGTTGAGATAAATGTCAAATAGCGGCATCCAGTAACACAAAGTAATATGTTCTGATACTGAGGATTAATTATAGCTCAAATAAGAAGAAATCATTAGGAAATAATAGAAATATGAAGAAGAACTTGATAAAAAGTAGGTTAAAAAGTTAGGAAAACAGAAAAGTTTAGTTTTGTATAGGAATAAAAGAGAAAGTATAAATGGGAAGAACTTTCCTCTGCTTTCAAAAAGGAAGGAAACCCCAAAGTGTGTTTGTTCTAAATATCAGTGTCTTATGCTAATGTCACTTCCATTAAAAAAGAAACAAAAGTCAAGGCCTTTCTTCCCCTGAGGGAACACTCTCTATGCTTTACTTCCACCATTCTTCCCCCAAAATTAAAGGGAAGGCCACTGTCCCTCAGCTGTCTGTCTGTCCTTAACATTCCCAGACATATTTGCCTATTTGCAAATAAAGTATAATGAAAGTAATGACTATGCTTATGAAAACATAATTATAGGATCACTTAGGCTGGAAAAGACATTTAAGATCCTTGAGTCCAAGCATAAATCTAGTACTGTCCACCACTAAACTATGTCCCTAAGCATCACGTCCTTTTAATGTGAACTCCATATCTCAGAAAATAAGCTGGAAATACAACCATTCATCTCCTAGTAAATCAACAGTACACCTTGCAAAATCAGAGGATTTCACTTAGAAATATCTCAATTTTTACAAACTGAACATTACTTTTTCCTTATAAAGTAACTGCTAAGTTGTAAAAATAGTACAATATCTTTATATGATCAGAAGTTATGAGGTAGTCTGTGAAGAATAAGATAAAGATATCCCTAACCTCACAAATAACACATTTTCACTGAAAAAACCACCGAAGATTATTTTTTTGCTGTCAAGTAAAAAAAAAGAAAAAGCAAAAATGACCATTGAATAATACAAAGGCAGCTGCATAGTCATCAGATATCCTGTTTGAATGATACCAGTTAAAAAGAATGCAACATTTTATAGGAAATAAGACAAACCAACATAATTTACAAATGTGCTATTTGAAATGCATTTTACATAACTTCTGTACTGACTGAATTGAGGCATCCATAAATATTTCAGCTCTAACTCTCTCCAGACATGAAAATTCCCAAAAACACATCAACAAAATGAATTTGAAACCGCTGTGAATAAGAATTCAGCAAAACAAATGAAATTTCACATTGCTTTGTTGCCCTTACCATGAGCTAACAAGTGCCATGAATGGTAGATGGGTAAGAGGAATACATTCAGAGAAAAGCAAGTGCACACATGTATAGATGGATTTTCAAGAAAGCCAGGATGAAAACCCAGGTTCAGAAAGTTTTATAGCTAAAACAACAGGGATTTTTTTTTCTTTTTTCAGTAAAGCAGTAACAATTTCCTGCACATAAATTATCTTCTAGATCCTCCTGTGAGCTAGGCCATAATTAATGCACAGTAACAATTTTCAGCCACTGCAAAAACTGAGGCACAGATTTAGACTGTCTTTCCCTTTATACCACTGGGCATATATATCTTCTGATTATCAAAGATAGTTTCCCTTCTGCAGGTTTATAAGTGCAAGAGGCCGCAGTGGGAAAGTCAGGAAGGTGTTCCCATCTCTCCATTATGCAGTAAGATAAACTGATCATTATTTATGGAGAGGGAATATGCTGCATACTCTCAGAAATAAGACTCAATAACAACATGGAGATAAAAACAACTTCAGTATTAACAGTTGTACAGCAGCTGATTCCAATAGGAATTTCTCAGTAGTCAACTCCTTTCATACTGCATTTCATTTGTGGATCAATACAAATGTAGCAGAAGAATTTAATGAAATTACTGAAATTTCACGTATCTTCCAAGGAGCTGAGGATACAGCATGTATTATTCCATAATCACAGAAGGAAGATAACGCAAAATGGAAAAGCTGTGTTCAGTCTCAGTAGCATAAGTGACCAGTCTGAAATACATTTCTAACAGACAGCTAGTCTAAATGAGGTGTGTTAGAGGTAAAAGAGTTTAGGAGAAATATGTAAATCAGAAAGCAGGTGAATGTCAGGTAAATGACAATTTTATTTGCCTGCTAAATAAACTTGCCTGTTAAATCTTGCAGAAAATGGTATATGAAGTTTTCAGCTAAGATGTATCCACAGATTTAACTTCAGTTTTACAAACATATGCACTGAGAGGGAAAGTCTACTTGAAACTGCCTTATTGCAAAGCTGTACTTATTTCTTAATTCTGAAGTCTTTCTTTCATTAAATGTAGTGTTACAAGATGTCAGTCTTCACTATAACATCAGAGGAAGAATAGATATCCATGTCACTGGGAGACAAAATGAGCTCCATGATAACGTGGATTGATCACAGAACATTCCTTAAAGATCAAATAAAAACCTCTCCCTGAGCAACCAATGCCATAGTTGTTAATAAAATAGTGGCTTCTAACTTGCTGAAACTAGTACACCAAGAAACTGTTTGAGACAGGATTTTTTAGTGGTAAAAGAAATAGGAGCTTTCAAGTATAACATACATTACTAAGGATGGAAATATTTCTGACTTTAAATAAAAATTAATACTATGACATATTTGGAACAATTTTTTATGCATGTCTTTTAGATACTTGGCAGAAATCATGCCCATTTATGCAAGGTTAGAATTTCATTACCCAAGTTCCACCACCTAAGGAAACAGAAAGAGGAAACTAATATCCAAGTCCAAACAAATTCTAGTCAAGTACATAAAGACTCTAAAGTCAATAAAATTTTGTGATACTAAGAATGTATAAAATGCTTGATTACCTATTATTTCCTACATCGTGGAGACATACATACTTTGTGCAAAATGGGTGCTAAAAGAGCTACCAAATCAAAATTACTATTCTTCACAACACTTTTTACAGGTATAAAGACATAAAGAAAGTAAAAAGAAATTCCTAAGATACCATCAAATGGTGAAACCACAAGCCTTTCAAGAAGTACCAGGAATGCAGGTCAGTGTAAACTGCAATTTTATAAACTGTGATAAATACAAATGAGTTTCAG